GTCAGCAAGGAAGAGGTGATCCGGCTGAAGCAGAAGAGGAGGACCCTCAAAAACAGGGGCTATGCCCAGTCCTGCCGCTTCAAGAGGGTCCAGCAGCGGCACGTCCTGGAGTCGGAGAAGAACCAGCTGCTGCAGCAAGTGGAGCACCTAAAGCAGGAGATCTCCAGGCTGGTCCGGGAGAGGGACGCCTACAAGGAAAAGTACGAGAAGCTGGTCAGCAATGGCTTCAGAGAAAACGGATCCAGCAGCGACAACCCTTCCTCTCCAGAGTTTTTCATGTGAGTTCCCACAGCCTTGCCACCTTAACTAAAAGTTCTCCGTGTGAGTTGTTGTTGGGGGCTTTGCTAGAGCGACAACCCAGCTTGCCACCTTGTATTACTTTTTTTTTTTTTTAATTAAAAAAAAGCAACAACCAAACTCAAAACAATTTTAAAACAAAGTTGGTTTGGGGGTTGGTTTTGGGGTTTTTTTTTTTGTTGTTTTTTTTTTCTTTTTAAGGTGGGCTGGCTTCGTGTTGGCCAACCTAAAGTTCTACATGAGTTTCTTTTCTGTTTATTATTATTATTATTATTTTTATTTTTGGGGGGGGCTTGCTGTTGTGTTTTTTTTTTTTTTTAAATTTAAAAGATCCAACTCGCCACCAACTCAGTTCTTCATATGAAGCTCGCTCTTCTTTGAAACCTGCCATCCACATTATATATATATATATTTTTAAGTTCATGAGTTTTTTTTTTCTTTTGAGCTTGCTGTGTCCAAAGTCAGTTGTTTTTTTTTTTTTCTCCATTCTGAGTTCTTCATATGAGATTTGAGCTTTGCAAAAAGAAAAGTAAAATTAAAAAAAAGACAAAAAAAAAAAACAAAAGCAAAAAAATACAAAAACAATGTGAAATTTTTAGACTCCAGCTTGCTGAGTTCCATCAGTTTTTAGCGTTGTTGTGCAAAACTAGAGATATGCCTAGATCAACCTGCCAAAATCAAGCCTGCATCAACCTTCGGTGTGTTCATGTGAGTTTTGGCCTTAATCTGCCAAACGTGAGACTTTAGTCTGCCATTAGAATCCCATACTCATCTCATGCATTACGCTTGCTATTTTGTCTTAGCAACAATGAACTATAACTGTTTCGAAAGACTATGAAAAAGAGACATTATATTAATAAAAAGCCCTGCATGCTGGTCATGTACGGTATAATTATTTTTTTTTTCTTTTGCTTGGAAATGGACTTTTGGAGACTATTATGGCATGGCATTCATCCTTTTGTTTTATTGCCTCATCACTTTTTTGGGTTGAAAGCAAAAAAGTGCAACCTTTGATCTTCCTCCTCCTCTTCCTCCCCATTAAAGTTTGCATCTGCTCTAAAACTGCTTTGAGTTACTCAAAACTTCAGACTTCCTTTTAAATGCACTGAAGCATTCCCTCTCAAAAAAACCTGCCAGAATGGATTTTGATAACCTAATGTGGCAAAAAAATATATACATTAAAAAAAAAAAAAAGCAAACCACAAAAAGAACTTTGGAAAGGTGTTCAAAAACAAAATTCACATCCCACTTGGGGGGGACATTAAAACCATGCTGTTGCCTAAAACAGTCTAAAAATTAATTTTAAGTGATCTGCCCCATATTTTTTTTTTTTTCCTTTTGCATTTGGTCATTGTCAAATGTGGAATGCTCTGGGTTCCTAGTATATAATTTAATTCTAGTTTCTGTCATCTGTTAGCCCAGTTAAAATGTATGCTACAGATAAAGGAATGTTATAGATAAATTCGAAAGAGTTAGGTCTGTTTAGATGTAGATTTATTTTTTTTTTTAAAGATTGATGCACTAAATTGTTTACTGTCGTGATGTAAAGGGGGGTAGAATTTGCAACGGGACTGTTTTAAAAAGTAGTTTATGCAGCATGTGCTTGCAACTTAAATATAAGTTGGGTATATGTAGTCCTTGCTATACCACTGACTGTATTTGAAAACCAAAGTATTAAAAGGGGGAGGCACCCCTGTTTATATCTATAGGGGTATTTTACATTCAAAATGTATGGGTTGTTTTTTTTTTTTTTTTCTCAAAATTGAAGTATTTGGGACTGAATTGCACTAAGATATAACCTGCAAGCATATAATACAAAAACAAAAAAAAAAAATTACGAACCTGTTTAGAACGCTAATACAATTTATGCAGTTATAAAGATGGCATTACTGCACAGTTTTAAAATGATGCAGATTTTTTTACAGTTGTATTGTGGTGCAGAACTGGATTTTCTGTAACTTCAAAAATTCCACAGTTTTAAAGGCAATAATCAGTAAATTTTATTTTCAGGGACTGATATCCTGTCTTTTAAAAAAAAAAAAAAATGGAAAGTAAATCTTACCACAATAAATATAAAAAAATCTTGTCAGTTACTTTTTCTTTTACATATTTTGCTGTGCAAAATTGTTTTATATCTTGAGTTACTAACTAACCACGTGTGATGTTCCTATGTGCTTTTCTTTCATTTTCGACTCTATGGTTATATCAAAAGAGAGAATAATCTACAATAATAAACTGCATTTTTTTGATTCCGTACTCAGTTTCTTAGTCTGTAGTTTAAAGTTCGCTAACTCCGAGAGCAGTGCTTCAGCGTACTGCCCGGCCAAGGGGTGATGCTGATACAAGAGCTGGACTCTATGATATTCAGGCGGGGAGAAGGAAAAGGATAGCTTCATGGAAAATGGGGAATTGCCGCCCGCTAGAAATCAAGGGAGCTTTCAGGTAGAGGAAAAACGGGAGTTTTCAGGTGCTGCTTCTGACTTCTCGCTGTTTGCAATGAGCTCAGTTTCAGTGACTCAGATCATCCCACCAGGTTTTGGGAGATCTCAAAGGGGAGGTCTGCTTAAAAACCCGGTGACATGATACGGCCCTGTATTTTGATTGTTTTATGATGGAGTGAAGTGAAAGGGAAGACTTCACATCCTCTTATCATCCGATCCCAGCAAAGCATGCCTGTCTCTAGTAAGAGATGACACCGCATCAGGCTTGGCTTGTCACACAGCCACTTAACGCTAGATCGAAAGATTTCTTGCCATTTGGGTCCATACTGCCTCCTTTTTTTCTTTTCTTTGCTTTTTCCCCCCCTTCTCCTTTCATTTGCCCTGTGGTTTTCTTTTTCTCCACCCCCCGCTTTTTTGTTTGGTTTTTCTTTTTTTTTGCTGCAGGCCTTAGAAAGCCCAGAGAGAACTGAGGAGCAGAGTTAAAAAAAAATAATTCAAAGGACTTCCTCCAACTTTTGAGAGTTACTTGTCCTAAACAATCAATCCAAAGGTTAACGTGGTAGAAACGGTCAGGTCTCCGAGCCACTCTTCACTGCCGTTCGCCATGTCAAAGGGCAATTTCGACTTCGAAAGGCTCCTCAAACCCTCGACCCGGTTCGTTTAAAGCCGCCTTTCCCGAGAGCCTCCAAGCCCGTTTGCAGAGCCCTCTCCCGCTCTTTGCACGGGATTATCTGCCCGGTTTATTTGAGAAGTGGAGATCTCTCCAAAGGATGCTCCAGCCGCTCCCAGATTGGGGTTTGTCTCCAGACCCAAGCTCACAAACCCAGCACCTTTTCTTTTCTTTACTTTACATTTCCCCCCCACCCTGCCCTTGGTGCAGCTTCTTCCCAGCTGTAGGGTCATCCCCGCACGTGCTGGTGGCACTGAAAGGAGAGGACCTGTTGCCGTTCCTCTGCCCGGCTGGTCCAGCCCATATCTCAGACCCCATCCTGCCCTGTGTGCCGAGGTCAGGATGCGGCCCTGAGCCCCGCTCCGCGGCATCTGCACCCACGAGAGCCCGCGTCAGTGGGCACTGGGTGCTGCTGCAGGTCAACCTGCTCCTGCTGAGGTCCCTGTGGAGGGGATGGACACCCGGTCCCGGTGACAGCGGGTGTCAGTGGCCGCGGTCCCCCATGCCGATGCTGCGCTTCGCCCCTCCCCAGCACCGGGGCACCAACCTGCCCTTTGGCATCTGACCTGCTGTTGCACCAGGGTTTGAGTAATGGTTCAAGCTCCAGATTCTGGTTAATTTGAGTTCCACTTTCTGGTTAATGTGTAATCTGTGGGTAAACTGGTTGCTATTGGCCGGGCAGAGAATTATCTCCTCTCATAAAGACAGGGCTGCTTTTTTACTTCTTCTCCCGCCTCCCGGCCGAGCCTTTACCGATGCCCAGGCTTTTGTCACATGGGGTCACTTAGAGGCTTCGCTGCTGCCCTTGCCGAGAGCTCCCGAAGGAACTCAGCCCTAAGGAGGGGAAGGGACGAGGCCTTTCCTCGGCAAAGCCCCCGGCGAAGCGGGGCCGCGGCCCCCGAGGGCATGCGGAGCCCCAGGCCCCCGGAGCGGGACCCGCTTCTGGTCCAGCCTCATCCCCTCTGCCGGGTTTCCTCACAGGCAAAGTTCGGAGCAGGCATTAGGATTTTCAAAGTCTTGTGAATGGACTGAGTAGCGCAGAGGGAAGGGAGCAGTGCTGCCTCCCTGAAGTATCTTCTTTCTCGGAGGAAAAAAAATAAAAAAACCCCACCCTGTTTGAACAGCGATAAGAGGAATCCTTCCTAGAAATAGACTGAGCGCAAAAGGGAAAATTCCCATCACACACCCAACCTGAGAGGGGGCGGAAAAAAAAGGCTCTCTCCCAGTTTGGCATCGTTATGACACCTCGCAATCTTGCTTTGCAAATAATAATAATAATAATAATAATAATAATAATAATAATAATAATAATAAAAAAGCAGCTAATAATAATAATAAAAAAGCAGCCTTCCTTCAGCTGCACTTGAATTTCAGCCTGAAACACACCAACTGCCCAACTGAAGGGGAAAAAAAAAAAAAAAGAGATGCACGTTTTAGTGTTCACTAAAGCAAAGTCGGTATTGGGGTTCTCTGTGTGAATCATTGCAGGGGAGCGCCCACCTTTGCTGCAGGACTGCTTGCCGAGGACTAATTGGACCCGCTCTGCTCTGAATAACCTACATTCATTAATCACCCCTCGCTTGACTCTGGCCTCGATCCTGCTCCCGTTGAGCTGGGAGGTACAATCCCTGGGGATTTCAAAGGGGAGCGGGATCCTGCTGTTCTCCCGCAGGTACCTCTCTGGCTAAAGCGGGGGGAACGCTGCCCGAGCCGGGCAATCGGGTGTCGAAAGGCGTGCGGGGTCTTAACCCCTCCATCACTAACAACGTCCCATTTCTCCCATAGTCCTATAGCGCTTTCCCATTTATTAACTACATTACAAAGAACTTTCATGTGACCGGTGCCGGGAGATAGGTGCCCGGAGAGCCCTTTGC